TTCCAAAAAAAAAAAAAAAAAGTCAAAGCATTTTATCTAAGGGGAAAAAAAAGCACGGAACTTTAGATACATACAGAATGAAATTTAGCTAAGTATCTGGACCATCTGTGATCCAGTCCAGTTGACACACAAAATTAACTATCACAGTTCTACAAAAATTTTAGTAATGTGGAAAATATTTGCACATCTATGGGAGGGATGAAACAGGGTTGAACACTGTACATTCAGTAGAAAAGGCTGTTAGGTACCATTGACACACCAGCACCTATAATGCTTCATACAGCCACCAGCTGAAGCACTGAAGACATTTCCCCTTTCCAAAATAAGTGGCACTAAATTCCCTACTTCCCATATTTATCTACCTAATTTGATCTACAATCCACACCAGTCCCCAGTTCAAATGGTCTCCTTTTTAATTCTGCAGAGAAATTCAAGTAAACCTACACTTGTATTTTCACAATATCTGACTTTCCACATATTGTGAGCCTTAATAACACCAGGCATTCCCTAGATGGTGTCATCTCAGCTCCATTAGGGCTTAACATGAATAGTAATGGGCTTCAATAGATTTATATCAAAGGGAACAGTATACAATATATAACAATTTATATTGCATTTGCAATTTCTCACAAGTATTTTTCAACCTCTGACCTCAAATGTCCTCCAGAGATCTGAACAATGTTATCTAGACAGCTGTCTTACATAGGGTCTTGAGAATGTCATTCTCCTCCTTCAGTAGTTTCTAATATGTATGTGTAAGCATCCCCCAGAAAACTTTTTTTTATTAAGAAAAATTTTCCATTCATTTTACACACCAATCAAAGATCCCCCTCTTCCCTCCTCCCACCACTCCAGCCACCCCCTCCCAACACATCCCCACTCCTTCCCACAAGAAAGCAAGGCCTCCCATGGGGAGGCACATCCAGTAGAGGCAAGTCCAAGCCCCTCCCCCTGCCTCAAGGCTACTCGAGGTATCCCATCCTAGGTAGAGGGCTCCAAAAAGCTCACTCATGCAACAATGATGGATTCTGGTCCTACTGCCAGCCCCACCCCCCAAGCAGATCAGGCTATACAACTGTCTCGCCATGCAGAGGACCTAGCCCAGTCCCATGCAGGCTCCACAGCCGCTGATCCAACTTTCATGAGTTTCCACTAGTTTGGTTTGGTGTCTCTGCAGGTTTCCCCATCATGATCTTGGTGCCCTTCCTCATAGAATCCCTCTTCTCTCTCTTAGACTAGATTCCTGGAGCTTTGCCTGGTGTTTTGCTGTGGATCTCTGCATCTGCTTCCATCAGTCACTGGAGAAAAGCTCTGTGATGACAGTTAGGGTATTCACCGGCCCAGAAAACTTCTTATGGGTAAGTTTTGCATGGTTTAATATAACTTTGTACTTGGTTATTGTTAGAGTTTAAACATATATTTTCATCGTGACTTTTCATGAAATAAACATGTAAGTATTCAAGATAATTGGGCCTTTCTATTTTATAGTGTAGAAGAGTAGATCTAGGAGATTTGAACAAAAGCTCAATCTCAGTTTTACATTAAATGGAATTATAAATACAGTAAATAGTAATTATATGGAATATAGTGAAAAGCGAACTTTGAATAATCACATATAATTACAGCATGGAAATCTAGCATTATCAGTTATATAGTTTAACTGAAACCACAAAACCATGTGACTTAAGAGTAGTACTACTTTATATTAATCTTGTCGATATCATCATCAACATGATCCTTTTTGTGATGCTGTGTTTACTGCTTAGTCCTGTCATTTACACCCAGTTTATTGTAACCAGCAGGGGGCTCAGCTTAGTCATGGGACTTAGTGGCCTCAGTAGCCTTAGCTGTGATGCTATATTTTAGGGAGTACACTTGTCTCCATGTAATCTTAACACCTTGAGATATCAGGATACAGAGAAGGCAAAGCTGCTAGGTTGAATTGGGAATTACATAACATTCCCACGTAGGTTTATGGATGAAGGTTGGTTGTTTTCTGTCAAAACCAGAACAAAAATGGTTTTGGTTCTAGTAAAGAGGGAAAAGAAATCTCCTTTACCTCTTGATGGGCCATGTAGAAGCCCCACTATGAAGGGTTATGGATTTGATGAGTTCTGACTCACTTGAGACAAGTACTTTATCAGCCCAGCATACCTTGCAATACATCTTCAGTGCATCTTATAGTATACAAGTGCACCTGCCTGCCCTCCTCATCTACCCACCCTCCTCACCTGGCTCTCCTTATTTGTCCTTCCTTCCCTCACTCCCCTCAACTTGCCCTCCTAAATGTGCAAGCTACTATAATTTCACTTATTTCAAGGATTTAGTTCAGGTATTTCATATATGGTAACAGGTGTGATTTTTTTTAGTGTGTTAGCATAAATAATAGTTGCCAGGACATGGGTGAACTGGGCTGTTTTTCAAGGTATCATTTCCCAGTCGCCTTTAATTGCTACCTATCATATTATCTATTACATTATAATCTATATAGGAAAGTGAGATAAGAAGTAAATGAAAAGACTTCATTCTCTGGAGCTACTATTTTAGGTGGATATAAGGCATGCATAAGTAAAGGATTTCAGAAATTGACTTGTTTCTTGATCAGTGTATCAGGCTGAATGAATTAGTTGTAAACTATTTTTATTAAATACAGATTTATTAAAATGCCATTAGTGTGACTATATAATGAGCACAGGGTAAGATATTTTAAGTAGGGCCTCACCAGCCTATTTACTCTAAATTGATAGCCCGGCCCTGAAAATTAAGAACTTTCATGATATTCTACACCACTTGAGTACTGCCCATTCTACACTACCTGAGTTGTACTTCAGATTTCTAGGAAGTCGCAGATAAGGAAAGCACTTGTCTCTGCTTTGGTGTTTCTGTTCACATCAAAGTTGGTAGAGTGTTTGCTTAGTAGGCATGAAGACCTGGATTTAGTATCCCAAGCACCACATAAGAAGCAGGAGTTATTCAAAGTCATTCTTCGATATATCACCAGTTCCAGGCCAGTCTGGGCTACAGAAAACCCTGTCTCAAAAACAAAACAACATCCACAACTCATCTCCCAAGAACTAGCAAATTAGCCCCGGACAGAGGATTGACAGAGAAAATAGCTATGCAAAACTCGGCATTAACAAGGTCCTGAAGACAAAGTCATTTTTGAAAGTCAACACTGAAAACATGTCCTCAGTGCTCTGGTTTTCTAGTCCCATTTAACAGTCCATTTATTTTCCCACCATGCAACTCATTTTCATTTTCTGATGGAGTCTGCTTCTGGGGGAAGTGTGAAAAGGAGAAAAACAATGTACATTTTTAAAAAATGGGCCATATTTTACTCCAACCTTACAAGTTACTAATTTTCTTAATCTTCATACAGATCATCACTGACTTTTTTCTAACTGCTTGGCAGGTTCCTTTCCATCTGCAGCAGGAGTATATAAAAATTAATGGGGTATTTTCTCAGCTTAATCATTACTCTAAAGCTACAGTTTGAAGTTGTGGTTGGTGGTTGTGCACACATCCAATAATATTTTACTCCCACAAAGCCTGAGAAAACAGTTAACAAGTGAATCTCCCCTTTGCCCATTGGTTATAGATGCTACCAATTTCCATGCATTGTCCACTGTGGAACAGTTGCTGGTTCTGAAAGAGAAGTACTACAAGATCCAAGATTTTGTGTCTAATTATGTCCTTTGAAGTAAACTCCCTTTAAAAAGCATTAGCATATTCTATTTGCCTCTAGATGGGATTATCAGAACGTCTGATTGCCTAGGCTTAATTTGTTTGTGAGAACATCCGCTTTATCTCAAATGACTCTTGCAGTGTTGACTTTCAAGTCACATCCCCAATATACTATCAGAGAACCAGAATTTGATCAGTTTCTAATGACACAACAAATAATGCAATTTCCTCTACTGAGTAGCCATCTTTAAATATAATAAATTTAGCCACGGATTGTTGCATCTGTGCCCATTTTTAGTTTTAAAAGAAATAGAAGGCCCAGAGCCACTACACAGAGATGATTTTTGCCAAAACTTGGAAACTTATTTTCTGAGAGCCTGTTCAAATCTGTTTCTTAGCTTTTGATCTCTTTAAGCTCAAAAGTTGAGACACTGAATACACTTTATGAGAAAACATTATATAGCAAATTTGGAGTTTCAGATCCAGCAATAGCGGGAATAATCTTTAAGAAAAGGAGTAGAAAGTGTGTGTGTGGTGCTGGGGTTCTCAAAATGTAGGCATCTCTGTTGCTAAGCAGCTGAGTGATTAATACGATTTACCTACTGGGCTTTTCTCTTCTCTTTACATTTGTAAAATAAAGCAACAATAAAGGAGGTGGAAAGGGTTTGAAACCATAATTTCCAAGTTTCCCACTACTGTAACATATTTAACAATCTGATGTTCTCCTGGTGGACCATTTCCCATAATTCTTTACGTTAGTGTAGTTCACTGAGGAATCAGCGCAAGGCATAATCATTTAAATTCTTACCTATCTACTAATTTATCACTTTGGAAAGTCTAAATCTAATGATTTTGTGAAAGTTCTAGAAGGGCCATTTTACCTCATACTGGGAAATTTGCCTCAAAAGTAGAATGATTCGTTCTCTTTCATCTTGAGCTACCTGAACCTTTCCTAGGAGCTTTAAAAATCCTTGGGGCGAGGGGGAAGGGGGCGGGGGGGGCGCAAAAGCAATCCCCACCCAACAAAACTACAAATCCCAGGAGGCAAAGCTGCAGTCATCGCCCCTCCTAATCCCCTCACCCTTAAATTGAGCTTGCGAAAACTCAGGTTGAGGCATCCTGCCACATGCCTGAAAGAAGCGTCCGCGGTTGGCCCCGGCCTTTTACCGCCGCAGCCTCCGGTACCTTTAAGTCGCTGCCTGGGCGCCGACGCGCGACGCGACGCAGGGCGGGTGGGCGTGGCGGACATCACCTGTTCGGGGCGGCGCACGCGCAGTGCGGGCGCGGCGAGGGGGCGGGGCGCGGGGCGGGGCCGACGGCGCCGAGCTGGCCGAGCTCGGCGGCTTCTGGGCTGCTCGGGCGCTGAGGCGGCAACCGGGAGGCAGGGAGTGAGAGGCTCGCCTGGCGCTTGCAACATGGAGGAGCGGCCGGCCGCGGGCGTCGCCTGCGGACCCGACTGAGCCGGTGCTGATTCCCCGGGCAGCCGAGACGGCGCCGAGCCCCCAGGGCCGGGCAGCCTGCACGCTTCGGGGCGGACCCCGGCTGGCGGGGCTCCGGCGGCCGCGGGCTTCTGCACCGGGACGTGTCCCGCCGAGCCATGGGCAACGAGGCGAGCTTGGAAGGGGAAGGGCTCCCCGAAGGGCTGGCGGCGGCCGCAGGCGGGGCTGGCGGCTCGGGGAGCGCCCTGCACCCCGGGATCCCAGCCGGCATGGAGGCGGACCTGAGCCAGCTGAGCGAGGAGGAGAGGAGACAGATCGCTGCTGTCATGTCAAGGGCGCAGGGGCTGCCCAAGGGAAGCGTCCCCGCGGCCGCTGCGGAGTCGCCTTCCATGCACAGGCACGCACAGCATGATGGAGATGTCCAGGCATATATATACCGCTTCCCGTGCACGTATGTGTGTGTGCCTGCACGGTGGTACATATATGTCGCCTCCCTTCGTTTTATTCTCCCTAATGGGGTGGCGATAAGGCGATCATAAGCTTTGGATGGGCGGAATAAAAATGATGCAGTGTAGAGTTTCTGGTGGGATAGTCGAGGATTGCATTCTTGGAATTGTGATTTTAGGTTGTGATTTTTTTTTTCATTTTATTTTTGGCCTTTTGCAACCTTTTCCCTCTAGAGTGGTGTGGAGAGACGCCCTACAGTGTTTTACTAATCTGGAAATCTTCCATTAATACATCACAGACGTGTTGAAAAATGGGTAGAGCTGGGTTGCGTGTTTACCTGTACGCTTAAACCTCCTTAGTGTTCTGAGGTCTTTTTCTCTGAGAACGATGTGTAAATATTCCTGTAACAATACCCTTAACCCTCTGGAGGTGACTGGTCCTCCCTTCCCAACCTTTCCCCAGAGAACAGGAGCTGCTTAGGTAAAAGGCATAGAATAAATATACCTTTTATATCCAGTGAGAGGCCCTAAGATATTTTGTGACATTAAACAGATGGTTTGGTCACAGCAGAGCAGGTGCTGTACATGTATTTCTGAATTAGCATATGCTAGTTTTTAAACCGTTGCTCTTTTTATGCAAAAATGACTTTTAGTTTATAGAACATATGAATTTGCATTACCTTAAGATTAGGTTTCAATACACACTTAAAAACAAAATAAGTAAATGACAATTTGCACAGGCAATTATAAAAGCTAATCTGAAAACATTCATTTCCTCTCCAGCTTTACATTTTTCCTCTTTCTAATGAATTAGTTGTTTTCTAATTAGAGTACCAAGAGGGTATAATCATGCTTTCTCCGCCTTTATTATTGTAAACAAACCCTTTAACACCCTTCAGCCGAAAAAATTCTATCCATGGTGCTGAAATATCCTTTGTAATAACTGATGGGACTTACACAATCTTGACTTGAGATACTGAAAGTATGAAAGAGCTGAATATATAGTTATAAAATGATCTACCTCATAAACTTAAAAAAACATTTCATCTTAGCTGCTAGTGTGCAAATCCAAGTGGGTACTTTTGCCAAAATATAATAAACCTATCATAGGAGCAGTTTAAATTTCTTAAGGGTGGTGATCTTGTTTTCATGTAATTCTGAAGTGTTGGAAATTTGTCAGGTGAAAATCCGTATTTAATTTGAAAGAAACCACAGTAGCATGTAAATTAGCACCAAAATTTAATTTTTTTGTTTTAAAACTAGTAAAGGTTTGGCCTTTTTCTTTTAATAATTTACAAGAGGATTTGTTTCTCTCTGATAAAATCCCGACTTTGAAAAGAAAAAACAAACCAGTCATGCATCTAGCGTGTCGTCTTAGGATAATAATGAGCTGCAGTACTTTTCTTAGTCAGATCTGTAATTTTTCCAGAGGGGCACATGCAACAGGTCTGGCGTGGTTGCAAATACAGCTGAGATCATTGGTGTTTGGATTTCCACCTTTGCTTCTGTACAACAGATAGCTGAAGAAAAAATCTGCCAATATAACTGTTACTTTATGTTGTGTGTGTATTGCAGTGTCCTTTCAGAGTTTCTCATTTGCAACTGGACACTTTAGGATTATCATCAGGCAATTTCTGCTCTCAATTGCAATTGGTAAAGATTTATAAAAGATAAGCACACATAATTTTTTGATTTTTGCAACACATTTACATTTTGCTAAAGTATTTCTATAAAGGATATTTTTGGAAAATATACATATGTATGATATTGAGAGACTCACGACCTTGTCATTTAGACTTTCAGGGTCATATTCCTTAAATATATGCTTTTATAAAGGTCCAAATTACTTCAGATTTTGAGAATTTAAGAGATGTGCACTAGACATGGCAGAATTTATTTCTCTTACCTTACTTTCGAGATGTAAGGATTTTCAGCCCCAAGACTCAAGTTCTTATCATATTGATTTTTTGTGACTCATAGTAAATTAATATGCATTTTTCAACCCATGTGTGTCTCAGGTTCCTTGCCTCTAAAGAAGATAACAAGACCTGTCTTACCTGTGTTAGGAAGTCATTTTGAGGATGACTCAAAAGTTCACAGGGATGTTTTTGCTGGATTTTTAATATTAAAGAGTGTGACAAATATAAAGCATGGTAATCTCAACACCAGCAATAGAAAGTCTCGACTATAGCCACACACAAGCTGTGTTTGGTATTACTCATTGTTAGAAATACTAATGGTACAAATTTATATTCCTTTACATATGGACAAGTGAGAATGCTCTCAGAGGCACCCCCATTAGGAGGTTGGGCTTCCTAGGAGGCCCAACTTCCTCACCTAGTTATATGATTTTGAATTATTCTCTTAGCCTTTTAACTCCCATTTCCTACTGGTATAAAAGTGAATAGATATTTCTTAGGCATTTTTATTTGTGATACGGAATATTTCATGTGACTCAGCACCATCAAATTAAGTGTCATTGACTGTTGTGTTACATTTAAAAACATTTCATCATTCCAGCTGCTTCACAGTTTTATATTTGCATATGCCTGAAATATCATTTTCTCTGATACAGTTCTCTACTAACTTATGAAAGGAAAGTTCTAATCTGAGAATAGCAATAGTAAAATGAAAAAGGATGTGGAATTAAACAACTTAAGCTAGAATCAGAATAAGGTTACAATCAAAATTCTTATTTTCATGTTGATTGATTGTAGACCTAGTGAGAGACAATTTTATTACTACTATTCATTTTATTCATGAACGTGTGATATGAGATGGCTTAGTGCAAAACTTTTGTGATAGAAGATAAGAATTTCGAGTTGATTATTTCCTTTAGTGCTCCTCTGAGCCTCCCCCACTGAGTGGCCATCTGCTCCACTTTTTTTTGTTTGTCTGTCTTTTAATATAGAACAATAGGTCAAGTCCAGGTTCTTAAGTGAACACGGGAAGTGTCCGTTTAAAATCTTAGAAGACCTTTAGAAGATTTGAAGTGAAATGAATTCAAGAAACTTTAATCTAGAGTGAAGTAAAAACCTGTTATGTTCATTCATCAGTTTTCACATTGTGAACCATTCATTTATTCATTGATTCATCAAACATTAATGCTTTTCTCCTAGTCGCCAGGTCTGATTCTAACAATGAAAAGATACGTGAAATGTGCTCTTTCAGCTCACAGTTCAGTGTATAAACCACAGATTGCATTTAGCTCATCTTTTAGCAGAATGGTTGTTATGGCAAACACAGTTCACAAGATCACATTTACTCAGGCAGCTTTACATTTTTGCTTGGCGTTAAGTTGCTATCTTTGTGATTTTCTTTCTGGTTTTTGTTTTTACTTGAATTCACATACTGATAACAATTAAAACAAAGTTAGAATTTGAGGACAGTCTTTGGGGCTGTATAGGTCTTTTCTGACAGCACAATGTAATGTTTGTGGGATGTTTATGCAATTATAATGTATTACAATGTGTGGCACATGCAGCTTGTTTTAATTTTGGTGTTTTATGTTACCACAAATATTTGGTATTTGTGAAGTTCTTTTTTTTTTTCAGTTGCTATTACACCTACATTAGGTTAAGTGAAGAAACAGTATCACAAGACACAGATTAAGATAAGTTTAATAGTATTTCAGGAAATGACAATTTAATAAAATCAGGAATAGATTTCTTTGGCCTTTGTTTAAAGATAACTTTCAAGAACCACATAGAAAAGTGCAGTTTAGTGAAATTCCCAAATAATTACTTACAAGATAGGCACAAACTATAATGAAGTCCTTTCAAGGGAGTTTTGCATTACATTAATTGAATGCAGAAACATTTCCAGAATAATGTCAAAATCTGTACAGTGTACCTTTGGAGATAACCTATTTTCTGTTATGTACAGTGGCTCTTCTGCCTTCTGAAGGGGGTGGGGGGACAGACAAGGTGCCCTGTGAAGACATTCTTATTATGTCCAAATGTAAATATGCAGCAATGATTTAAAAAAAATATATCACAGAGCTTTGGGAAATAACTCAGAAAATAGTTTGGGGTCTCTTTTAAAATGAAAGCGTTGGAAACATAGTAAAATGTTTATGTAAAAACCCCTGTCCTAGAGGAACCTACCTAAACTTTTCTATTATAGTTAGCATTAATATTGCACAGTGCTGGGGTCAATTGCCGCACCTTGCACACACCAGGAAGATACTGGACCAGTGAGCTACTCTACCATATTTACTCATTTCATTACGCCATTTTATGTGTATGTGCCAGTGGAAAAAATACTGTCTTTCTGACAATATTTGCTACAGGTAACACTTTTCCATTTCTTCTAACATTCTCTTAGGTCCTGATTTATGCTGTAAGCACTAGGAAAATTCTGAAGAAAATTATTAAATAGCACAAAGTTGAAAATATGTAGCTGTGCCCCTAACTAGCCAATTTGGCAAACTGAATAAAAGATGTACAACTCTATTGTGACCACCATACATTTCAGGTGCTCCTAAATCATTAATTCTTTGTCCTTGTTCTTTCAAAGAGAAATATATATTTTCCAAATGTAAAATGACATAAATAAAACTACTTACCTGGTTTTCTCCACAGTTATGGTGTGGGATACAATTAGTTGCCCTTCAAAATTTAACATACCTAAATGACTTTTAGCTAATATACATCTATGAATGAAAGATCTATTTTAATTATTCAGCTCAAATCACTTAAAGTATCATATTTACAGAATCTTTTAAAAGAAATAATTGCTGTGTGAAGCTACTTGTCACACCTCTCTGTCGGTGACAATAGATAAGATAAACCAATAACGTAACAAACACTGAATGAAGCTGGTACAGATTTTCTCCCACTGAGGAAAGTAACAGCACTTTTCAAAACTTCATGCTGTCTGGCTACCAGGCTGTATCTCACAGTACTTTGAGCCTCAACTATTGTTGAGAGGTATTGTATAAGAACTTCACAATTAATAATCAACTATTAGAAAAGACAAAGTGATATTGGTCTTGCACAAGAAAATTTGTTTCTCAAACAAGTTTAGTAATTTATAAATTTTAATAAGGAGAATGTTTGATGAGTGTTACTATTCTAGTAGAACAGAGCAAAATTGAGTAAAGCATTAGATTTCTCAGCATGCTAAAACGGTGTCATTTACCTCCATTACCACAAACTCACCTCAATGTCACAGTGTGACTTCTGTAACTAATATGAATTTTCAAAATTAAGTAAAAACAAAACTAGTAAGCTGTTATACTTTAAAATGAGGACTTTTACTTCTTAATTCTCTTAGTTTTTTCTTGACCATAATTTTTGATCAAAAGGGAAATAGAGATAGTTACATATGTATTACAATATGACATTACATTGATTTACTGTAGTTTTACTTTTTGAACCTATATGTTAATATTCTAGTAAGTATATTTTTGTAAGTTTATATTGTTTAACCACATAATTTTTCATCACCAACAAGCTGTTTTTGCTACACTACCTTGTTGAAAAATTCTACCTATTCAAAAATAACAGACAAGGCAAGTTTTATGATCAATATAGGCTCCAACACAAATTGCGTCTATATACGTTTGAGTTACAAGAAAACAATAACTTTCAAATATTGATTTGATTTGAAGTAACTTCTACTATTTTCATTTTCCAGGAAACAAGAGTTGGATAGTAGTCAGCCTCCCAAGCAACCAGGAAAGCCACCGGACCCTGGGCGTCCCACTCAGCCTGGACTCAGTAAAAGTAGAACTACAGATACGTTCAGGTCGGAGCAGAAATTGCCTGGAAGGAGTCCGTCCACTATTAGCTTGAAAGAATCCAAATCTAGAACTGATTTTAAGGAAGAATACAAGTCTAGTATGATGCCTGGTTTCCTCTCAGATGTTAACCCTCTAAGTGCTGTCTCCTCTGTGGTAAATAAATTCAACCCTTTTGATTTGATATCAGACTCTGAAGCATCCCAGGACGAAACTTCACGGAAACAAAAAGTTGCTCAGAAGGACCAAGGAAAATCAGAAGGAGTCACAAAACCTCCTTTACAGCAGCCGTCACCCAAATTGGTTCCTAAACAGCAGGGGTCAGCGAAGGAAGTGATACAGCAGGACAGCTCTCCCAAGTCAGCATCCTCCCAACAACCAGAAAAAATAAAAACACAACCCCCCAGCACAGGAAAGCCTTCCCAGGCATCTTCCCAGCCTCCACCAACGGACCAGGCAAAGCTGCCTATTCAAAGAGATGCAGCTAGGCCTCAGATTAAACCTTCAGACACAGGAAAGCCTTCCCAGCAGAGTCCAGCCAAAACACCAGCTCAGCAAGCAAGTCCTGGGAAATCTGGAGCCCAACAGCCTGGACCTGCAAAAGCAACAGTCCAGCAGCCAGGGCCAGCAAAGTCCCCAGCTCAACCAGCAGGGACAGGGAAGCCCCCAGCCCAACCTCCAGTGACATCTAAGCCTCCAGTGCAGCAGGCTGGAGTGGAGAAGACTTCATCTCAGCAGCCTGGGCCAAAGTCTCTCACTCAGACTCCTGGTCTTGGAAAGATTCCAGCAGGGCCAGTAAAGTCTGCAGCCCAGCAGCAAGGGACAGCAAAACTCCCAGCTCAACAGCCTGGCCCACAGCCTCCAGCTAAGGTACCTGGACCTACAAAGCCTCCAGCTCAGCAATCTGGACCTGGAAAGATACCAGCTCAACAGCCAGGCCCAGCAAAGCCTTCACCTCAGCAGCCCACTCCAGCAAAGCCTCAGCCTCAGCAACCAGCTCCCACAAAGCCTCCACATCAACAACCTACCCCAGCAAAGCCCCACCCTCAACAGCCCACTTCAGCAAAGCCCCAACCTCAGCAGTCCACTCCAGCAAAACCCCAGCCTCAACAGCCCAGTCAAGCAAAGCCCCAGCCTCAACAGCCTGCTCCAGCGAAACCCCCAGCTCAACAGCCTATGAAAGTGACAAGCCAAACAGTAACTGGAAGACCTGTGCAGCCACCACCAACTTCTGCAGCAGAGAGTCCAGGACAAGGTCTCTCTAAAACCATCTGTCCCCTTTGCAACACCACTGAACTTCTGTTGCATATTCCAGACAAGGCCAATTTTAACACATGCACTGAGTGTCAAACCACCGTCTGTAGCCTCTGTGGTTTTAACCCCAACCCCCACTTGACTGAGGTGAGTGCATTTACTACTGTCCAAGACTGGTGAGCACAGGCATGGTGCCTGCTTTCGCACTTAGGACAGGGACTGCTTGTCTCTCCCTCTCTTTCTTCATCTCTCTCTGCCCTCTGTCCTTTTCTTTTCCCCTGCCAATTTAATTTTATAAAATATTCTCTTGAATGAAAGTCCTAACACAGTGCCACACTTTCTGAAAATGTGGCATATAAAGCAAATATGAATTGAAGGAAAGGAACTGAACGCCTAGATTCACTCTGTGTTTAACATCAACATTATTTGTTAGTTAGCACAAACTGATATTGTTTTCATTTTAAATTTGATGCTCCCACTTACCAGTTTTGGTATTGTTTGTTTTAGGTGTTTTTTTTTTTTTCCTTTTTGAGACAAGGTTTGCTATGCAGCCCAAGCTGACTTAGAATTCTTTATGTAGCTCAGATTGCTTCTAACTTGTGATCTTCCTTTCACAGCCTTCCAAATTTCAGGATCACAGGCATGCTCAGCCCCACCCAGCTTGCGTTTGATACTGTTAACTGAGGTCATATTTGCATTTAAGAAAGTGGATAATTATTTTCAAATTTTAAAAATATTTTTAATAGTAACTGGAATAGTTTTCCATTTGTACATGCCCATCCCCATTGATGATGCTTCTCTACCCAATGAGGGTTTACCCACTTCATTAGCTGAGAGTCACTGATAACAACATGGAATAGTCCACAAAATGAAGTTAATAAAGTGGACTCATTGTTGATATGTGGGTTTTCAGAAGATGTGTTGATGTCAGTTACCTAGATAACCTGCTTAACCATCAAATCGAAAGGGACCATGAGTAAGGCCAATGACTACAGGTTGTCTGCAATCAGTGTTGATAGAACAATTCTCAGGTAGTCACTGCCTAATAGCTTAGCATGTAAAGGCCTGGAATAAAGTAGTATTTTAATAGGTTGATATTAGGGAAGGGACTAAAAATCACACTGCAGTGGAAAAACTAGGAAGTTCTATGAATTAAAAAAAAAAGTGAAAAAATGTTTATCTTTTTGGGTCTGGGTTTCCTCACTTGGGATGACTTTTTTCTAGTTCTATCCATTTACTTGCAAATTTCATGATGTCAGTTTTTTAATGACTGAGCAATACTCCACTGCGTAAATATACCACATTTTCTTTAACCATTCAACTGTTGAGGGTCATTTAGGTTGTTTCCAATTTCTGGCTATTATGAATGGAGCAGCTGTTAACATGGTTGAGCAAGTGTCTCTGTGGGAGGATGAAGTGTCCTTTGAGTATGTGGCCAAGGGTGGTATAGCTGGATCATGAGGTAGATGGATTCCCATCTTTCTGAGAAACTGGCATACTGATTTCTATACAAGTTTGTAGTTCCAACAGCAGTGGTTGTATGTTCCCATCACTTCACACCCTCTCCAGCATGAGCTGTCACTTGTTTTATTGATCTTAGCCATTTGACAGGTTTAAGACTAAATCTCAAAGTAGTTTTGATTTGCATTTCACTGGTGGAAGAATATTGAACATTTTAAATATTTCTTAGCCATTTGAGTTTCCCCTTCTGAGAATCCTCTGTTTAGATCTGTACAAAGTTTTTAAATCATGTTATCTGTTTTCTTGATACTTAGTTTTTTGAATTACTTATGTATTTTGGATATTAACCCTCTATTGGATGTATAATAAGTAAAAATATAATCTTTTCCCATTCTGTAGACTGTCGTATTACCCTTTAATGGTGTCCTTTGCCATACAGAGCTTTTCAGTTTTATGAGGTTCCATTAATTAATTGTTGATCTTAGCCTGTGCTAATGATGTTGTATTAGAAAGTCTTCTCCTGTGTCAGTGAGTTCAAGGCTGTTCCCCACGTTCTGTTCTGTCAGGGTCAGTGTTTCTGGTGTTTATATTCAGGACTCTGATCCATTTGGAGTTGAGTTTTGTGCAGGGTGATAGGTATGGATCTGTTTGCATTTTTCATGCTGGCCTGCTTGTATAAGCTTTAATTGGGAAAGAAAATAATATACAATAGGGGAATATTATGTTCTATAACCATTTAAATGAGCCACTTTTTACTTTTATAATTATTAAGAACATTTATAAGTGTTCTTATAAATGATGGACAGAATCATATTGTAATTGGTGTGTGTGTGTGTGTGTGTGTGTGTGTGTGTGTGTGTGTGTGTTTAACTTTTTAAAATTTTAGTAAAGTTGTATTTTGGCTTATACTATATTGTTTTGATAATGATATAAGGATAAAATTTGAAAGACGGATGGTTTATTCATTGAATATTTGCATTTATTGCACTTCAGTGGTAAGTCACAAAGCAAAGAATACATTTGGAAATATACGAAGATTTATTGCTTATATGCCCAGTATTTGGAAGACAGATCTTATTTAAATGTCTAACTTCTGGGAGGCATTCTGAAACATGGTTATGGGATAGAGATGAGACTAAAGCATGAATGCTGAATTTCACATGATTAAAATGCACTCCATTTATGTATACATCTGTAAATATGATATATGCAGATAATAAGAGCTGTGGAAGATAAAAGTAAACATGATGAACTTCTGAGTAGGAAGCACTCTTTTCTAGTGCGGAAGATTAAGGAAAGCTTCATGAGAAAGTGTCTTTTCTATGGAATGTATCAGTAGAAATACTAAACAGAGAACATGCACCAGATTAGGATTTGAGCAAGACCTGGATATAGAACAACACAGAGTGTGTTTAGGATATTAAGAGTAATTATGGGAGTGCTGAGATGGCTCAGTATGTAAAGGCACTAAACATACTTGCTGTACAGGCCTGATGCTGAGTTGGGTCCCTAGATCACACGGTGGAAGGAAGTAACCGACTCCTGAAAGTCTTCTTCTGATCTCCATATGTGCACTGTAGTGTCCCCGACACTCTTTTGTAATTCAGCTTATTCCTCTCTGTGGTGTGGAAGGCCTTTAGACTCCCTGCTCTCACCCAGGCTGTGGAGATGGGAGCCATTCCAAGCACATCCTAAGAAGCCCCTGGCTCCCAGCCTAGAGCTCTGGTGTGCAGAGGAGGTCATAGCTGTACCTCTTCTTGCTGGTCCCTTAATGGAATTAATCACTACAGCACAGGCTTTCTCTTTGAGTCTGCTTCCTGACACAAACTGAACATTTACTTTCTAATTATTGACAAAGGATTTTCTTTTTTACTCTTGTTTTTGTGCATTTTCTTTATCACTGTCAGTGAGTAACCTCAGGCAGGACACATTTGTGGACAGATTTAAGGTTTGTCTATAAAGTTGGATCATTCTCTGAACTCATCTGAAAAGATACAGTATAAGAAAATGACTTGTCATTTCCATAACACTGATAACAAACTAAACATTAATGATGGAATTGAATTTGTTTATTTTATTTTTAGTAATTACTTTTGGTCAAAACTAGATGTTTAATTAAATTAAATAAAAGCATGGCTATTTTTCAAGGACAAAGCAGTAACAAAACCAAACCAGACTTTCATATATAGATTTGCATGTAAACCTTATTAAAAAGATGATCCAAAACATGCCTCATATACTTTAGTTGGGGAAAGTGGTTTCCCTAGTCGCTCTGTAGTGATAGTCCCGTCACTACTTCTGATTTAAGAGAAACTTGTGTGTGTGTGTGTGTGTGTGTGTGTGTGTGCGCGCGCGCGTGTGCGCGCGCACTCGCTTGTGTGCAGTAGGGATTGTTTAGACAACCTGGTGAGAAAAGCGTAGAGAAGTATGGTAAACAAGAAGAGAAGAGAGAGGCTGGCACCTTTGGTGAAGGAAAGATAGGATAACATTTCTTGTGGTGGAATAGCTGAAAGATTTTTTACAAAAGAAGTTTTTCTTTTTTCTTTTTCCAATTGCTTGCTGTTTTTAGTTAGCACAGAATTTTTTTTTTTGGCACCACCAATTCTAAGCAAAACTGGTACACAACTCCCCTACCCCCAACCACAAGAAAAGACTGAGTTTACAAGTGTTGACCACCTCCCCTAGGGTTCCATATTTAATGTGAAAACGGACTGGTAATATAAGCTGATAGGGTGAAGCATTGGATGAAATGGACATTGAAAGTAGTTGACAGAGGGCTGAGAAAAGCTGCACAAAGTCATCTCAGAGGTCCCTTTGAATCAGCAAATATAAAAATGTAGTGGGTTCATTCAGGTAACATAAATAACATAAATTATGTGCCTTCTGAGAAAGATTCAAAAGGATACTTCGTTAATGATTACCACATTCAAATTTCAGTAGGTTGATTGAAGATAAAAATGGACTTGGTTAATGACCTGGAAAACAAAAGCTCATAATTGCCCCAGATTGCAGAATCAAAACAAACAAAAAAAAATCATCAAAGTTCTTCGACTACTTGCTTAGCATCCACTAAGTTTCATGGATGTTCTAGATTCTGGGCATCCAGGCATGAACAAAATAGGCTGGAGTCTTTATCTTATGGGCTGGTATTCTAGACTGCATCATAAATAGCTAAACCATATGGTGTGACAGATGGTAAAAGAATATAAAGGAGAGGAAATACAGGAGGGTTATATTATGTACAGGAGAGGGATGGGGTGAGTCCTGTGGTCCCTTCTCACTTGCAGTTGGAGGTTGGTGTTGTAGGGTTCCTGGATGATTTGGGTTGTAAACGTTCTAATGAAGCAGATGAGATAGCTCGGTGGGTAAATGTGTTGCCACCAAGCCTGACAACTGGAATTTTATCTCCAGAACTCACATCATGAAGGAGTGAACCCACCCCCAAAGTTGTCTTCTGACCCCCACGCAGGAGCCACGGAGTGCATGTACCCCCAAACGCAAAATAAAGAAATGTTAAAAATTGCTAAGTAGTAATGTTAACTGAAGTTCTAATTAGCGAGTGTAGTTGAAGATTAAGAAAAAGTAGAAATGAATCCAGTAATGTGTAATTCTGAGATTAAGTCATTCATGAAATTCCCACTGTAGAGTGATTTTTATCCCTAGAAATAAATGACACCAAGTTATCT